GAGAAGCTGGTGGCGAGCCTTAAGTACGTGTGATGAGATGAGACATGATACAGTGAGCAGTAATTCTCATGCGCGAGGTTAAGCAGTGTTGCACAATGAAAGGAAAGGCTCCCTTTGATCTGTGATTTCACCGTTCGACTAGAACCTTAGTCACCTGATAAGATCTCACTTCTCAGACACTTCCTTTCCAGACAGCTATGTTTCCCACGCCCTAATGCTCTTTGAATTACGGCCACTCTTCCACCTACAGACTCTTACACTCTCTTGCATCTTACAGACACTTACGCGACACAGCGAAATATATGAATATAGTCGGAATGAAAGAAATGGGGAGTAACTTAAGGAGGGAATATCCTTCCCTGAGTGTGCAGTTACGTGCTGTAAATGAATGGAGGTTATTATAAACATGAACTGTGGAAGAAATGTCGTTGGAGAGTAGCTATTTACGTGTCCCGGAAATTTTAAAAAAGTGTGTGGCCTCCTGCAAAGTTGGAGGTGTCACCTTGCAGGAGATCCCAGTTTGAAAATTCGCGACACAGCTTCAGTCCAACATAGAACTGTAGAAAAGTTGAGAATAGGAGACAGCAGTGCCGCCTTTTTTTCAAAATTCTCACATTCACAAGATCACGAGTTCGCTTATTGTTAGATCCTGAGTTTTGAGGTGACCCGAAACTAAGGGCATGAAAAGATTCTGCGACAGCTAAGGTAATGAAAATGGTGCTCAAAAAGAGGGCACGGCTTATAATAGACGAATCCGCCGGAAACGTCCCTACGACTTTCGGTTTTCAGTCTGATAAGTGAAACTCAAAGTATACACTGAGTTAGGAAAGGAAATGCTTGAGGTAGGCCGGTAATTGGTCAGGGTAGACGGTATTTATAAGAGAATAATTAGGTTTAGGTATAGGTTCATCACATGTGCAAAAGGCACAAGTGTGAAAAATGAAACTCCGAAAACCCAAACACAACTACATACAAACTAAATCACTTGAATTACCCGAAATCTGACAGAAATAGCTGGAAATTCTATAGTTCAGTAGTCGGCCTCAGAAAACGCTAGGGCTCTGTGTCATATCTTAAAAGCAGTTTAGAAAATCGATGTTTGAAATGAGCCAAAGATTTTTCTAAGAGAATCTTTTTTGAAAGCGTCGAATAGTGACTTCCAGCTCTGAACGAGAAACTTTTGGCTTGCAAGGTAGTCTTGGGTTGGCTGAGAAAAATCTTACTGCATCCTCCTCTATACAGTGCGTTTCATAAACATAAGGTCACCCTCAAATTTGCACTCAGAAAAAGCGATCATTAAGGATTTTTTCTAGCATCATGAACGGATTACCCAGCATGAATAACCTAGGTTCCCGTTCTTTAGCTTCAGCAGCATCTTTCTGAACTTTTTTAGAACAGTTTATCGGTTTTTGCACCTTTTCATAATTAGTAGGTCACCCTGAGAAAGTAAACAATCATTCATGGAAGAGAGGAAATTTCGTGTTTGTAGTTACTTACAAAGGTAAGCATGTATAGCAAATGCGTTTCTAAACCTGGCTATCAACATGATTCGTGGTCATCTGCTCTCCTCTGATGAGAAGGCTCATCATGAAGGTGGGATCAGTACCCGAGCCATCTCCAGGCAAATAGGGAGATC